GAATTTAGAATATTAAAAACACTGTTTACCGAATTTTGAATTTTTCAGAAACTACCGTTCATAATGAACGCATAAAAAATTATAATAACGAACTTTCTTCACATAAAAAGAATGAGCTGTGAACTTGCCTTGAGCCAATAGCTGCGCATCTAACGCTTCTGCTGCTCGTTTTTCTGACATCTCTGCCTTTTGCTTCCACTGATCAATTTCGATGGACATCTTTTCAGACTAGAAATAAGCAACCAAGGGATAAGCCTTACCAACGAATTAATAAAACCGCGACGCACCCTCAATTTTACTTCAGTAACATCACCAGAAGAAGAGGCGGCAGCAGTTTCTATTGAACGCTCAAGTTCTTCTACTTTTGCCTGGATGTACACAATTACATGCTTTTTCTTAATTGAAAATCAAACTTTCTTACTTCTAAATCAACTTTCTTTTTGTTTACAAGACGTAGTTCGCTCTCCAGCTCATGATTGCGCCCTTTCACAACGTCCATTTCACCTTTAACTACTTCCAACTCCTCCATTTCCTTTATTCTTTCACGTAAACGAGAGTTCTCCAATTCCAAGTTTCTAATACGGTCTCTAAAATAACTTTTGAATTTTGAAGAAAAAAATCTTTTTGGCTTGCCGAACCAAAACAAACTTACTCCATCATACTGCCGTCTAACGAAGAATCTCCACCATTCGATTCCAGCATGGATGCATGTAAGCTATGAGCGCTATCTACGTGTGACACTGAAAAACGACACATGAATCATCATCCATGATGGGATTAATGAAAAGACAGGAGACACAATAGATTTCAATGCCCATCACAACAAAATATTGGTATTTCCAATCCAACCAAGAGAATTTTAACATAGACGGAAATAAAGAGTAAGATAATAACTCTACAAGCTTAACGCTTACACTAGTTTTCTAAGAATCGGTAAACTATTCAAAAACCATTATTTCCTTGAGGGAAAAACCTTTAGAGAAACGATTCCATATGAATGGCGTTAAGATGGTGCTGTATGTTAACGTGAAAAAAATCAAGAGGTGGACAGGGTTTTTGCTTCAACAAAAAAAGACACGCAAAAGCGTTTAGATTTCAGAGAAATTCGAGGCAAAATGTTTTTATGCACTATCGAACGCACATGATGTTCATTGAACTTTAATTTGTAACATTTTCTGCAAAAAAAAATGTCTAGGAAGCCTACATTGTATGTACAAGAGACATCTCATTACATACATGATTTCCTATTCGCAACATAATGGATAAGATGCCTCTCATGGTCTTCTTTAGTTCTTATCTGTCGTAAATTACTTCTTCATCGGAGAACTGCGGTAAAATGTCTCCATAAGTGTATTTAAAGTTCATTGATAAGTGCGTAAAAGAAATTGATAA